GACCTGTTTATGAGTGGAGGGAAGGGGGAAACGACAGAAATTTTAGAGGGGATTCCTCACTATATTACTCAGGAGATGAATGCTAAGCTAACCAAGGAAGTAATGGAGGATGAAATCCGTGAGGCTTTGTTCTCTATGAACCCAGAAAAAGCTCCTGGACAAGATGGAATGTCACCTTTGTTTTTTCAGAAATTTTGGAATTCCATTAAAAGTGACATCATTCCAGCTATTAAAGCTTTTTTTCACTCAGGTCACATGCTCAAATCAGTTAACCATACGGTGATATCCCTTATTCCCAAAATTCTGCACCCAACCAATCTGAAAAATTTCAGGCCTATCAGTCTATGTAGTGTGCTCTATAAAATCATATCAAAAATCTTGGCTAATAGACTGAAGTTTGTTCTGGATCTGTGCATTAGCAAAACTCAATCTGCCTTCATACCTGAAAGACAGATTTTAGATAATGTGATCATAGCTCATGAGTACATGCATTTTCTTAAAAATAAAAGACAAGGTAAAGAGGGCTACATGGCTATCAAACTGGACATGGCAAAGGCTTATGATAGGGTGGAGTGGCAATGCTTGATGGATATGATGGAAAAGATGGGCTTCTGCTCTAAATGGATAAACTGGATCCATAGTTGTTTGAAGACAGTGAGCTACTCCTTCAACTGTAACGGAGAGATCAAAGGCTTTGTGACACCAGAAAGAGGGATAAGACAGGGAGATCCCTTGTCTCCATATCTGTTTCTTATCTGTTCAGAGGGCTTCTCAAACTTGCTAAAAAGGGCGGAGGAAAGTAAAAGAATCCAGGGGCTCAAAATCAGCAGAAATGGCCCAGTGTTAACACATTTGTTTTTTGCGGATGATTCTATCATTTTTTGCAAGGCTAACAAGAATGAGGCCGTGGAAATCATGAAGGTGTTGAAAACATATGAAAAGGCCTCGGGGCAATTAGTCAACCTAGACAAATCAGCAGTTTTCTTTAGCAAAAATATGGATGATGAGCTGAAGAAGGAGGTATGCCTGACCTTAGGAGGAATGGTAGAGGCTAAACAAGGCAAATACCTGGGGCTTCCAATGGTAGTTTCAAGGTCTAAAGAGCAGATCTTTGGTTTTGTGAGGGACAATATAAGGAAAAGATGCCAGAATTGGAAGAACAAACTTCTGAGTCCAGCAGGTAAGGAAGTGCTTCTGAAAGCTGTGGTAATGGCAATGCCTACATACGTGATGTCTAGTTTCAAGTTGTCCAGAAGGCTGTGCAAAGATATCTGTGCTTTGATGGCCAATTTTTGGTGGGGTGAAGCTAATGGCAAGAACAAAATGCACTGGTTGTCTTGGGAAAGATTGGCAAGGGCTAAAAGTGCAGGAGGATTAGGATTTAAGGATATTGAAGCTTTCAATCAAGCGCTGTTAGGAAAACAAGTTTGGAGGATACTTACTAAACCAAATCTGTTGGTTAGTAAGGTGTTGAAATCCAGATATTCTCCACAGGAACCCATTCTGCAGTGTAATCTCGCCAAAAATGCATCATGGATTTGGCAAGGACTTATGGGGGCTAGAAGTTTAATCACTGCTGGTATGATCAGAAGGATAGGAAATGGAAGGAGTACAAATATTTGGAGACACAAGTGGATCCCAGACTCTGAGACAGGGAAGCCAACTACTAGTCGAGGAATTCATTGTGAGCTGGAAAAGGTGGAGGAGCTTATCAGTCAGCATAGGTGGAACAGAAATATTATATTCAGATACTTCAATAGAAGTGATGCTCAGAAAATCTTAGCTATTCCTCTAAGCCTGGCTGATAGGGAGGATAGCTTTTACTGGCAACCAAAGGAGGGAGGGATGTACACTGTCAATTCTGGGTATAAGTTTCTGATGAAGCAACACAGAAAGAGGGATAGGTGCAATCAGGGAGAAGCTAGCTCTAGCTATATAGTAAGTGATTCGCATTTAGCTCAGATGTGGAATACACTTTGGAGATTAAACATCAAACACAAAATCAAGTTTTTCGTTTGGAAATGTATTCAAGGTGCTCTGCCTGTGAAAGCAGCAGTGTATAGAAGAACGGGGGTGGGGGATCCGATATGTAAGATGTGTGGAACAGCACAGGAAACAGTTGAACATCTTCTGCTAAATTGCCCCCACACGGAAAACATATGGAAGGCCTCTCCCATTCAATGGGACGGAGCAAAGGAGCAGCAGGGAGATTTCAAAAGGTGGTGGCTAAGAATCTCAGAAGCAAGGCACAGGACAGAAGGGATGGATCACATTGGTTTAACTGCGAATATCCTGTGGCAGGTGTGGAAAGATAGAAACAAAAGAGAATTCGAGAACACTACCGCTGATACTCCCTTCAAAGCTATAAGGAAAGCGCATTCTGGTTGGTTAGAGCAGCAGCAGTTGGAGTACAAGGGGGAAGGAGAGAGCACAGAAGAAACAGCCCCTAGACAAGAAACTCAGGATCAGAGTTATGTAAATGAAGGAGAAGTGCTAATGGAGGTGGCTACAACCATGAAACAAGGGCAGCTATTCATGGGAATTGGAGTCAAAGTTAAAGTTTTTGCAAGTGATACGACGATAGGGTGGGCAATGAAAGACATCAGTTCTGGAAACAAACTCCTAGATGAAGCTTTGGCGCTGAAACTAGTGCTGTGTAAAGCTGTGCAGCGCAAGTGGAGCAATATTAAGCTGAGTTTTGGTAACAAAGAACTGTGGAGACAACTGAAACACCAGAGCCCAGCGGACAGCAGATTGGCAACAGTACTTGAAGACATATCTCAGCTACAGAGATTGTTTCGCATGTGCTCTTTTGGATTGAATAGGGAAGAAGATATGATAGTTAGCAAAAAAATCAGTGCTGATGCTTTAAGCATTATTGTGGATGAGGAGCGACAGCTTCCTCAGTGTCTTTGAACACTAGTGTGTAGAGTCCGATCGAGCCGTTGCTCGTACTTGTAATTGGTTTACTTTTAAAGCAATGAAATCATCTTATCGTTTCGACAAAAAAAAAAAAAAGTAATTATCTAAGAAATAATCAATTAAACCACTTTTAAAAGAAGATATTTATTGTGAAAGAAAAACAAACGTAAAAAAACTCACTATTCTTCAGATACGTAATAGTAAATGACTGTCAATCAGCCAATCTCAGATACGTAATGGTAAATCTATATATTTTCTACTTGAGTTTATTTGTTTGCCAACAAAAAAGCATATTTGGGCCTTCACAGAAATCAGAATCTCACTCTTTGCTGGTAATAATCTCTTTCAACTTTTCAACTCAATGTGCTGTATATATGCTCTATTCAACTTTTCATGGCTAAATTGCGTTATAGCATAATTATTGTACGAATCCCCAAAACTTTTCATGGCTCTATTCAACTATATTTTTTTTTGGTGATATTAACAATCCCCTGCACTCTCAATTCAATAATGTTATGAGTAATTCAGTGAAAATTTGACTATCGGCTCATACTAATCAATTACATTGTTTAATCTGTGTGCCTCAAGCCTACAGATATAGGCTATTTTATTTCATTTTAGGGAAAATCCTTTAAAATGTCTTTCACATTTTGTTAAATGAAAATTTTCGTCTTTCACTTTTAAAATATTAATTTTACGTCTTTTACAAATTTAAATCAGCAAAATTTTGTCCAAATCTAAGTCTCCGACCAATTTTTAGTTTGAAATTATTATATGACTCACATGTAGTCATTTTTTATGTATAAAAGGTCAAATTCCACTTTTTTTAGAGGTAAAAATGAATATGAATTAGATCAGATCTCACTTTTTAGGAAAAAAAATAAACATGATTCGGATCAAATTCTACTTTTTTAGAAGCAAAAATAATTATAAATTGGATCATTTGTTTAATTACACATGAGATTTAACTTTTTTACTCTGAAAAAAAAGAAGACCATGCATAGATTACGTGAGAGACTTATGATAAAAAGTGATAAAAAACTAAATTCTACTGATTTGATTTTATAAGAAATATAAATTTACTATTTCAAAAATAAAGAACGATAAATTTATTTTGACAAAATGTAACTAACGTTTTGAACGATTTGTCCTAATTTTATTGGACCCTGTCCCTACCTTCAAATCAAATGTGAAAATCGCCCTTGGACAACATTGTATGATTCTGTGCAGAATTGTTGAGCACTTGCTAGTTTCATGTAGGCCGAAACCTTTGCAAAACAGTCTGTACGTAGCATGGATGAGCACGTAACACGTATAATACAAAGGTTGTGGACGTGTAAGACATCTAACATCGCTCCCTCATGCATGCACAACACAAACTAGCAACATGAAACGTGGCACAAAGGGATCAAAATTCGAAGCAGATAAAAGTTGTTGTTCATCCTAGGATCTCTCATAGATGGATTTTAAGGAAAAAAAACAAGAAGGAAGGGAAACCCCATCAATTAGGTACCCATACCAAGGAATACAAAATATTATTGAACATAGGTAGAGAGATTTAAGGTTGTTCTAAAATAAGGTGAAATTAAGGATGTCAGGGGCACAAGGAGCACAAATCATTAAGCACAAATTACAGTCACTAATTTGATGTTTTAGGAAGGAAAAGTATGTTGTTGCCTCTCCTGGCCATGTCCATTTCAGCTGAATAACAAGTTTCATTGGAATTCTTTTCTTGCCAAGCGTTAATTCTCTGAATCTGCTGCGTGCAAAAAGATACTCTACTATTGTGGTAGCTCACCAAACAGTAGAAAGAGACTGTTTTCTTCTCCAAATAGAACACTTTTTAGCTTCTTGCTGAACAGACAAAACACAAAAGTGGTTGTCTAACTCTAACGTGATATTACTTTCAAATGAAATCCAAATCTGTTGTTTTTTAGTGGTTTTGATTCTTCGAACATACGGAAAAATGAAGAATGACACCATGAGAAAGAAAGAAAAGTGAGTCTTTGCAGATTCCAGACTGCAGCCTTGAAAAATTATAAACTATGGAAGGTCAGAAAGTGGTCCAAGAAAGTTGCTGGGTACCAACTTGACAGAATTCATTAATTCAAATCGAACTTGAGCAGAATGTCAAAGTCATAGATTTTACCGAACAGGAGGCAATTTGCTTGTTTAGCTCTATAAATACTGCAGAACTCATCATCCACTTCTTCTGCAACCAACTTCTTGTTTCATTTGCATCCCTCTACCCTGCATCTGCAACTTGCTCCTAAAATGGCACCCCTGAGATGGCTCTTGATCTCTGTTGCATGTTTCCTTTTCATGCACAGTCTTGGAAAGTCTGAGACCTGTCCTGATTGTTTTATCCATTCTCGGGCAGGTTATTACCCAAATTCTGACCAAAAAGGAACAGAAGGTCAGGATCAAGCTACATATACAAATTTATAAACATGAGCATGAAAGCGTGTTGTCTTGCTTGCTTTGCAATTTTAGATGACATGAAGTCAGAGGCACATTAATTGCTAGCACTAATATCGTGCTTAACATGATTGCAGTTGGGGAATGTGGCTTTGGTAAGTTTGGAGCAACACTCAATGGCGGTGATGTTTCGGCTGCATCAGAACTATATCGAGGGGGTGTAGGGTGTGGTGCTTGCTATCAGGTATTATACATGTCATTAGAATGTTAAGCAATTTCATATGCTTGTATCTATATTTATGTCTCTAATGACTCTATCATGCTGCTCTTAATCAGGTAAGGTGCACTTACAGTTATTATTGCCTGGATAAAGGAGTAACTGTAGTCATAACTGACCACGGAATCAGTGATCGAACTGACTTCATTCTCAGCCAGCGAGCCTTCAGTCAGATGGCACAGAGCACGGATTCAGCAGCCTCTCTACTGGCACGTGGAATAGTTGACATTGAATATAGAAGGTTAGAGTTACATATGAACAAAAAAGACTACAAGATATGCTTCATGGTCATCAAGAAAGCCTCTAGATTCAACTAATAACAGATGATTTAGAAGTTAGTGTTGCGGAAGCCCTACCAAAGTTAAGGTATAACGAGTAAATTATTGTACCTAAAATTGCAAAAATGGTAATTCCCAAGAAATATTTGGTGAGGCACACTGGCCTGCTTAAGTACCAATTTTCTAGACAGAATCACCTATATATGCACTTAATTGCACAATAACTCACTACAAATATACCTACAAATATAGCTACTAAATAGACAATAAAATAGAACACCAGAATTTAACGAGGTTCGGCTAATTTGCCTACGTCCTCGGACACTACCGACAATTTAATATTTCACTAGAAGAAATATTACAAAGAGAGAGAAGAAAGCAAGTTATTGGCTCTTGCTTGGTGTACTTGAATTGGTTTGTTTGAGAGCTATTTATAGTTCTCAAACAACCTCTCAAATGTTAAACTTAACCGATGTGGGATTTAGAAACTTAGGCCAAAGAATTCAAAATCCTCAATTTTGGCTTGAAAAAGTCATCAATTGAGGCTTGGCTTTGAATTCAACAAATCTCCACCTTGGCATAATTTCTAATCCCACCAAAAATACAAATTTTTTTTCCTCAAATTCGGTGGTGTCTTCAAATGCGTTGTCAAGCGCCAATCTTCAAGTTGTGCACAACATTTATCAAATTCAAACAATGTTGGAATTTGATAGTTGTCACAACCTTCGTAAGCATATCAGCAGGATTCTCCTTGGTCTGAATCTTTTGAAGTAGTATCGTACTATCTTCCAAAATCTTCTTCACAAAATGATACCGTACGTCGATATGCTTCGTCCTTGCATGATAAACTTGGTTCTTTGCTAAATGAATAGCACTCTGACTATCACAATGAACTTTGATAGACTTCTGTCCAATTCCCAATTCATCAAGCAATCCATGAAGCCAAATTGCTTCCTTAACAGCTTCCGTAACTGCCATATACTCCGCCTCTGTAGTAGACAAAGCAACTGTTGACTGTAAGGTAGACCTCCAACTGACTGGTGCCTTAGCAAGTGTAAAAACATACCCAGTCGTTGATCGACGTGTATCTTGATCTCCTGCGTAGTCGGAATCACAATATCCAACTACGCCTTGACCAATCTTCTCATCCCGCTCAAATACTAATCCAACATCTACGGTGTTCAAAATATACCGTAAAATCCATTTCACAGCTTGCCAATGCTCCTTGCCAGGATCATGCATGTACCTGCTCACAACTCCAACTGCTTGTGAAATGTCGGGCCTTGTACACACCATAGCATACATCAAGCTACCCACCGCATTTGCATACGGTACCTTTGCCATATATTCTCGTTCTGCATCATTCTTTGGAGATAACGATGCACTAAACTTGAAATGAGGAGCAAGTGGAGTACTAACAGGTTTAGTCTTTTCATTCATACCAAACCTCTTTAATACTTTACTAAGATACTCTTTCTGTGTCAAATAAAGCCTCCCCAATCTTCTATCTCTACTTATCTCCATGCCGAGAATTTTCTTGGCTTCGCCGAGATCCTTCATTTCAAACTCCCGACTCAAATGAGATTTCAATTTTTCAATCTCACCTTGATCCTTGGAAGCTATCAACATATCATCAACATAAAGAAGAAGATATATGTAGGATCCATCTCGTAGCTTGCGCAAATATACACAATCATCATATTTGCTTCTTGTGTACCTTTGTCCCATCATAAACTTGTCAAATCGCTTATACCACTGTCTTGGAGACTGCTTCAATCCATACAACGATTTGTCAAGCTTGCATACCATCTTTTCTTTACCAGCAACTTTGAATCCTTCTGGCTGAGTCATGTAGATTTCCTCTTCCAAGTCACCATGTAAAAACGCAGTTTTTACATCTAATTGGACAAGTTCCAGATCCAATTGTGCTACCAAAGCCAATAAAATTCTGATGGAGGAATGTTTCACGACTGGAGAAAACACTTCGTCGTAATCAATTCCCTCCTTCTGAGCGTAGCCTTTAGCCACCAATCTTGCTTTGTAGCGAACACCAGACTTGTCAGAAAATCCTTCCTTCTTTGCATATACCCACTTGCATCCGATTGCCTTCTTTCCCTTTGGAAGACTGGTTAGCCTCCATGTTTGATTCTTATGAAGGGAATGTACTTCTTCATCCATTGCAATCCTCCACTTTTCTTTATCCGAACTTTGAGCTGCTTCATTGAAAGTGGCAGGAATATCAACATTTATGGTTGGGGATGCATAGGCCACTATATCAGCAAAACGAGCAGGTTTTCTGATTGTCCTCTTTGGCCTACTGGTTGCAATTGATTCATGTTGCTGTGAAAGTTCTTCAACTGGAACATTTTCTTCAGTTGATTCTTCTTCTACCATAGGAGTCCTTTCATCTACTCCGATATCCACTGCTGGTCTGATAATGCTTCTTTCAAACTCCATCTGCTTAGGAGTGCTCTCCACCTGTTGGGGAGTACTATCATTCTGCTGTACATCTACCTTTGTTAACATGGTAGATTCATCAAAGGTGACATCCCTGCTGAAAACTATCTTTTTCGTTTCGGGACACCAAAGGCGATAACCTTTAATGCCTGTTGTGATCCCCATAAAGAGCGCCTTCTTCGCCCTTGGATCCAACTTTGATTCTTTAACATGATAATATGCAGTAGAACCAAACACATGTAAGGAATCATAATCTGTAGCAGGTTTTCCCGACCATTTCTCTAATGGCGTTTTGCCGCCAATAGCAGTTGATGGTAAGCGATTAACGAGGTGATTTGCATATGCTAAAGCCTCAGCCCAAAATTGTCTGCCCAACTCAGCATTGGACAACATACACCGAACTTTCTCCACCAATGTCCGGTTCATACGCTCTGCCACCCCGTTTTGCTGTGGTGTATCTCTGACTGTGAAGTGCCGAACAATGCCTTCATTTTCACAGACCTCCATGAACGGATCACTAGTGTATTCACCTCCGTTGTCTGTTCGAAGGCGTTTGATCTTTCTTTCTGTTTGAGTTTCCACCATCTTTTTCCACTTGATGAAAATTCCCAATACTTCACTTTTCGCCTTCATAGTATACACCCATACTCTTCGAGAGAAGTCATCGACAAAGGTAACAAAATAATTCTTGCCTCCCAAAGAAGTTGTTTTGGAAGGTCCCCACACATCAGAGTGCACATAATCCAAAATACCCTTGGTATCGTGAATTGCAGTGCCAAATTTTACCCTTGTCTGCTTTCCTTTGACACAATGCTCGCAAAAATCTAACTTGCAAACACTGGCTCCTTTTAATAGTCCTTGATTCATCAGAAGATTCAAAGATTTTTCTCCGGCATGCCCTAAGCGCATATGCCATAATCTGGTTACTTTCAATTCTCGATCATCACTGGAAGCCACGGCCGCTACTCCAACAACTGCATTACCTTGATAGTAATACAAGTTATTATTTTTTCGGATTCCTTTCACCAGCACCAATGCACCTGAAATGATTTTCATCACTCCATTATATGCCGACACCTTGTAGTCCATTGATTCTAGTACTCCCACAGAAATGAGGTTCTTTTTCAATTCTGGCACATATCGGACATCAGTTAGAATCTTAATTGATCCATCCTGATTCCTTAATTCGAGGCAACTCGGCCGTTTCTATCCGTTTCGGAGAATTCTCGGCCGAGTTCTCGGCAATTTATTATCTTGGAATCATCTTGTTCCGGTATCGGATTGGGAAGCTCCGTTCCAGTGACGACTCGACCGAATCGTCTCGGTCTCAGCCGAGTTTTTGAACCATGAGTGGGACACAAGCATTGCTGCGAACTTTTGAGTGTTGTGGCAAAAAATTGAGAAGGACATTGTGGCCAGGTTTACAGTTTACAAAAAGGTTGCCATTTGGGCTCTAATTAAGCAGGTTGAGATGGAATCTTTATCCAAATTGGGTATTCACCCCGTCCTTCAGTAAGAATTTGGGGCAGGAATCGTTTCTGAACATTTTACGGCCTTGATTGCTTAAGAAAGAAAATTTGCAAGGCTCAGATTATAAGTTATACATCGATTTCAACAACGGGCGCGAGACTAAAAAAAAGAGATAAATTTACATTTTGTTCAAATTGATTTACATTCTGAACAAATGCATGCATATTTTGTTCAAATGCATAAAACCGTTCCGGATCCCCGATCCCTTAAAGGAAGACATTGATCGGTTCTGCTGCAATATATTTTAGCTAGTATCGGCTTGGGGTGGAAAAAAAATGAGCAAGTTTTCCACCTGGTAGTAATTAATCCTAAGAAATAATCAATTAAACCACTTTTAAAAGAAGATATTTATTGTGAAAGAAAAACAAACGTAAAAAAAACTCACTATTCTTCAGATACGTAATAGTAAATGACTGTCAATCAGCCAATCTCAGATACGTAATGGTAAATCTATATATTTTCTACTTGAGTTTATTTGTTTGCCAACAAAAAAGCATATTTGGGCCTTCACAGAAATCAGAATCTCACTCTTTGCTGGTAATAATCTCTTTCAACTTTTCAACTCAATGTGCTGTATATATGCTCTATTCAACTTTTCATGGCTAAATTGCGTTATAGCATAATTATTGTACGAATCCCCAAAACTTTTCATGGCTCTATTCAACTATATTTTTTTTTGGTGATATTAACAATCCCCTGCACTCTCAATTCAATAATGTTATGAGTAATTCAGTGAAAATTTGACTATCGGCTCATACTAATCAATTACATTGTTTAATCTGTGTGCCTCAAGCCTACAGATATAGGCTATTTTATTTCATTTTAGGGAAAATCCTTTAAAATGTCTTTCACATTTTGTTAAATGAAAATTTTCGTCTTTCACTTTTAAAATATTAATTTTACGTCTTTTACAAATTTAAATCAGCAAAATTTTGTCCAAATCTAAGTCTCCGACCAATTTTTAGTTTGAAATTATTATATGACTCACATGTAGTCATTTTTTATGTATAAAAGGTCAAATTCCACTTTTTTTAGAGGTAAAAATGAATATGAATTAGATCAGATCTCACTTTTTAGGAAAAAAAATAAACATGATTCAGGTCAGATACTACTTTGTTAGAGGAAAAAATGATTATGAATTGGGTCATTTATTTAATTACAAATGAGATTTAATTTTTTTGCCTTTAAAAAAATGACCATGTATAAGTTACGTAAGGGATTTAGGATAAAAAGTGCTGAAAAACTAAATTCGATCGATTTGATTGTGTAAGGGGTATAAAGTTTCTATTTTAAAAGTAAAGGACGAAAAAATTCATTTTGGCAAAATGTAAACAACACTTTGAACTATTTTTTCTCCATTTTATTGGGCCATGTCCCTACCTTCAAATTAAATGAAAATCGCCCTTGGACAATTTTGTATGATTCTGTGTAGAATTGTTCAGCACTTGCTATGTAGGCCGAAACCTTTGCAAAACAGTCTGTACGTAGCACGGGTGAGCATGTAACACGTAAATTACGAAGGTTGTCGACGTGTGACACATTTAACATCGCTCCCTCATGCATGCACAACACAAACTGGCAACATGAAACGTGGCACAAAGGGATCAAAATTCGAAGCAGATAAAAGTTGTTGTTCATCCTAGGATCTCATAGATGGAATTTAAGGAAAAACAAGAAAGAAGGGAAACCCCATCAATTAGGTACCAGTGCCAAGGAATACAAAAATTAATGAACATAGGTAGAGAGATTTAAAGTTGTTCCAAAATAAGGTGAAATTAAGGATGTCAGGGGCACAAGGAGCACAACCAAAGGAGGCCTATACTGCTACAACGTATGAATCAAAAGATGGAGGAGAGAACAAGCCCAGAACCGACCTTTATTCCAAGGAGGATGAGGGCTATGTTGAGGTTGATAAAATTCAGGAGAAAGTAGAGGATCCTGTGGGCAAGGGAGGTCCTGTTTTCGGTGCTGGCAAGGATGATGACAAGGGGGACTTGGGTGTGACTGGAACTGGTTGATTAATTAGTATGCATGGTCTTTTTTGTTCTTTCTTTTCTGTTTTTCTGTTAAGTTCTGATAGTTTCTATGGGTGTAAATCTTTAATCTAGACTCTTTCATTTTTTTTTCATGGTTTTTTGATCATGGTATTTGGTCTTAATTTTGTATAAAAGGTTGATTCTCTGCACTCAGAAAAGTTTATTTTGGTAACAGAGAGTTCTGATGTAACTCGTGTATTGGAAGTCATCATCAGTTCCACTTCCTTCTAATGAAGTTTGCAATCACCTCTGCTTTATTTGTCTGCGAATTGAATTCTCTGTAAAGTTGGACATGATTTTTTTTTTTTGGTCTCTTTCTGATAGCTCCTGGGCTTGATTGTGTTGTCTCGGAAACAGCATTTAATTTCTTGGATGGTAAGTTCCTGGCAGCAACAGCAACCCAAGTTTACAAAAACTGGGTAGGATCCTACCTGAATATGCTTTCCATGTCATGGATGATGTGTTGAGTGGATTATATATTTGTCTAATCTTGTGGATTAATTAGTCTTCTCTGATCTCATTAGCCTATACGGGCCTACATCATTGATACCAAATCAACATCATTAAGCACAAATTACAGTCACTAATTTGATGTTTTAGGAAGGAAAAGTATGTTGTTGCCTCTCCTGGCCATGTCCATTTCAGCTGAATAACAAGTTTCATTGGAATTCTTTTCTTGCCAAGCGTTAATTCTCTGAATCTGCTGCGTGCAAAAAGATACTCTACTATTGTGGTAGCTCACCAAACAGTAGAAAGAGACTGTTTTCTTCTCCAAATAGAACACTTTTTAGCTTCTTGCTGAACAGACAAAACACAAAAGTGGTTGTCTAACTCTAACGCGATATTACTTTCAAATGAAATCCAAATCTGTTGTTTTTTAGTGGTTTTGATTCTTCGAACATATGGAAAAATGAAGAATGACACCATGAGAAAGAAAGAAAAGTGAGTCTTTGCAGATTCCAGACTGCAGCCTTGAAAAATTATAAACTATGGAAGGTCAGAAAGTGGTCTAAGAAAGTTGCTGGGTACCAACTTGACAGAATTCATTAATTCAAATCGAACTTGAACAGAACGTCAAAGTCATAGATTTTACCGAACAGGAGGCAATTTGCTTGTTTAGCTCTATAAATACAGCAGAACTCATCATCCACTTCCTCTGCAACCAACTTCTTGTTTCATTTGCATCCCTCTACCCTGCATTTGCAACTTACTCCTAAAATGGCACCCCTGAGATGGCTCTTGATCTCTGTTGCATGTTTCCTTTTCATGCAGAGTCTTGGAAAGTCTGAGACCTGTCCTGATTGTTTTATCCATTCTCGGGCAGGTTATTACCCAAATTCTGACCAAAAAGGAACAGAAGGTCAGGATCAAGCTACATATACAAATTTATAAACATGAGCATGAAAGCGTGTTGTCTTGCTTGCTTTGCAATTTTAGATGACATGAATTCATGCTTAATATCGTGCTTAACATGATTGCAGTTGGGGAATGTGGCTTTGGTAAGTTTGGAGCAACACTCAACGGCGGTGACGTTTCGGCTGCATCAGAACTATATCGAGGGGGTGTAGGATGTGGTGCTTGCTATCAGGTATTATACATGTCATTAGAATGTTAAACAATTTCATATGCTTGTATCTATATTTATGTCTCTAATGACTCTATCATGCTGCTCTTAATCAGGTAAGGTGCACTTACAGTTATTATTGCCTGGATAAAGGAGTAACTGTAGTCATAACTGACCATGGAATCAGTGATCGAACTGACTTCATTCTCAGCCAGCGAGCCTTTAGTCAGATGGCACAGAGCACAGATGCAGCAGCCTCTCTACTGGCACTTGGAATTGTTGACATTGAATATAGAAGGTTAGAGTCACATATGAACAAAAAAACTACAAGATATGCTTCATGGTCATTAAGAAAGCCTCTAGATTTAACTAATAACATATGATTTAGAAGTTAGAAGCTCACAAATTGAACTTTCATATGACTGAGAGGAGAACATCTGCAGGAACTATATGCTCTTTTCCTTGGGTTTATCATCGATTTATTCTATAAAAGTAATTAAGCAAGTCCATGAAAACACAAAACTTCATTATATCCTCCATAGAAAACAATGTAAAACCTCTGTGAACTAAATGAATCTCTGTCTCTCTTTGAACAGGGTCTCATGTAGCTACCCTAACAAAAATATTACATTCAAGATCGATGAGAGCAGCAATAACCCTTATTATTTAGCTTTTGAAATATTGTACCAGCAAGGAAAGATGGACATTACAGCTGTGCAGCTCTGTGAGGTACCATACAATGCTTTTTCCCCTTTGATACTGGAACCTACTCATTTTCCATCGACCAAGTTTATGAAAGATATTGTCAAACTATCTGTAAAACCAGAATAGTTTTGTTTCACCGACTTTGAGTGTCGCAATATTAATTAATCAGTCTGGGTAAAAGCACGCTACCTAGACTCCTTGACTATAGTTCAGAAGCATGCTTAACTTATAAACGCACATTTTTCTTTGTGCAGACACAAAACTTTGTTTGTAAACTCTTGGATAGGACTCATGGAGCAGTATGGACGACCACCTCGCCGCCAAGTGGGCCTTTATCGATAAGGATGCTATTTAGTGCCAATGATGAAGATCAGACATGGGTAGTTCCAGTCAACAACATACCAGGAAATTGGAAACCTGGAGACACATATGACTCAGGAGTACAAGTAAATGCTTAGCCAAAGAAACTGAATGTTGTCATTTTACGGTCAATAAGTCCTCGGTGTTCTTGTGCTTTATTTTTTATTCGGTTCCTATCCAATTTTAGTCAGGAGATGGTGCAAGAAGTTGGAGTTCTACATGTAGTCATTCCATTACTGCTCACTAGTCAAAGTAACCATGAGAAGAATTATAGGTTTGTAGTAATTCTCTACCATAGACTATGGACTAATTGTATCCTCCTTCTATGTTAAAAGAATTGATTGCATATGAATAAATTGGATGCAAGACATAATTATTTTTCTCTCAACATTTACTCATAAAGCTTTCAAAGCTTCAAATCTCTGATAGACAAGATGTTGATTGTATCTGTCAATATACAGCATTTCATGTTACTTCTGAACAAACTGAACAACTTTTGTGAATTTACAGAAGTGATACGTATTTATGAACTATATCTCACCTGGGCAGCAACGGCCTTGAATACTTGAATGCCAATGCTAATTCATAAACTGAGAGATCAAAAGTATTCCACGATGAAGTTGGGCAATCATAACTTAGGAAATCACCCTATTGTCTATGCAAGCGATGAACCACGAAAAGTCATACCATCACCTTCAATTCAGAAGCCGGGCTAGGATATCTGGTAGATAATTGGTATTCAGGTCAACATTTTACCTCTTCAGTGTTGCCTAGCATGCTTACGTCTCAAATAATCGCAACTCAATATTAACACAAACACGTTCTGATTTTTTGCATATGCTGAGTGAAATTTTTGGTTTAAAAAAGAATCATCAAATGTTTTCCCTTTGCCTCAAATATGTAATTTCCTGAACTCAATCTTCTCTAGCAGGGAGTTTTGTATTGGTTTAATCCTTCTATTCATGAATTTGGTCTGCGAATAACCAATATTGATAATTTCTTCCACAAAGAATATATATTCCTCTTCCTGTTCTATTGTCTGCATGACAACTTCAATTGAGCACCCATCTCACTCAACATAGAGTAAACCATGCTTCTCTTGTGGGCTGATCTAGTTTTCTGAGACATATCTGATTGTAAATCCATCAAGTGCACAAGGCTAGACCCAGCTTCCTTTTCTGTGCCCTTTTCTTTCATCAACTTTCTTACATTCTCCACATCATCCCATCTCCCTTCTGTGGCATATATGTTGGACAATAACACGTATGGCCCAATATCCCCTGGTTCCATATCAATTAATCGCTTTGCAACAATCTGTCCAAGTTCTAGTCTGGAGTAGGTCCTGCATGCCGAAAGTACAGACCCCCATAGAGCTGTTCCCGCTTCCACGGGAATTGTCTTAACAAGTTCTTCACTATCATGCACCAAGCCAGCCCGGCCAAGGAGATCAACCATGCAACCATAGTGCTCAATTTTGGGCTCTATATTGTAAACTCTATGCATTAAATCAAAGTACCACCAGCCCTCTAACACCATCCCAGCATGATTACATGCACTTAGGATGCATGTAAAAGTGGCATCATTTGGCATCAGTCCACACTTTTCCATCTCCATGAACATTTCAAGAGCTTTTTCTCCATGCCCTTGCATCCCATATCCCATAATCATAGAATTCCATGATACAACACTTCTATCTGGCATCTCATCAAAGATCAACTTAGCCAAATCCATAGCCCCACATTTTGCAAACATTGTCAAGAGAGTTGTCATAAGCAACACATCTGGCTTGATTTGTTCACTACCTTTTATATAAGAATGAATCCATTGACCTCGATCAAGCCTTCCCAGATGTCCACAAGAGATCAGAACACTTACAAGTATAGCCTCATTTGGCTGAACATCTCCTTCCACCATCATCTCATCAAACAATCTCAAACACTCAGAATAGTCCTTCAACCTCACGTAAAGAGCCAACATAGTAGTCCAAGAAACCATATTCCGGCAATCCATTTGATCAAATAACATCCTCGCTCCATCTTTATTTCCAGTCCTGGCATAGCCATCAATCATACAATTCCAAGAAACAACATCACGAGAAGGCATCTCCTCAAACAACTCCTTTGCCGCCACCATATCCCCAACCCCTACATACCCTGTAATCATTGAATTCCAACTAAAAACATCCCTTTCGTGCATCCCATCGAAAATCTGCCTTGCAAAACCCAGTTCTCCATTCTTCACATACCCATCAATCATAGTGTTCCACGTTACCAAATCTGAGTCAGAACATAAATCAAATACCTTCCTTGCATCCCAAATTTTAAAACAAACAGAATACATATGAATCAGAGCATTCCTAACAAATAAATCCAACTCAAACCCACATTTCACAACACGACAATGAATCTTTATCCCTTCATCTAACAAACCCACATCAGCACAAGCTTTAACTAATATAGGAAAAGTATAATTATTCTGAGAGATGCAATTTTTAACCATTCCATTATAGTAAAAGGCCAATGCCTTTTTTGGGTCATTGAATCTCACATATCCTCTAATTATAGTATTACATGAAAAAGCATCAGGGTTTTCAAGATTATCAAATATTTTAATGGCAAAAGGAAGTGTCGATTGAGAAGAACAGAGTTTTTTAATTGCTCTGCCGGAAGCAAGTGGGTGTTGAATGAGGCCCGAGACAACGAGTTGGGTATAAATTTGGTTGAAATGGTAGAGATTAGGACTGATAGAGTCTAAAATGCGCAGGATGGGGTGGCTAAGATCTAAAATCTGCACCCCATCATGGTCTAGATGGCTGGGGACTCGTTTATCGGCATCAGACCAGAGTTTTGGAGTTGGCCTGGCAAGGTTTCTCTGGGTTTTGATGAACTTTTCAAGGGTTCTTGAGGAAAGGTCGATTGAATTTCTGGCGGCTCTGAGCCTAACGGTCATCTTTTTCCCTCCAAGATTTGGCGGCAAGATCAGATAGGGATCGTATAGTTTGGTGTTTTACAGTTAAATTTCTGTATAATGATGCTTACTTCATCACTTTACACCCCGTACTCTTGTCAAAATAATTTTAGAAAAGTCGTTCAGAAAAAGAAAAAAAACTTTGGTTTGAACTCTTATAGATGCTTTTAGCTTGGCCAGATTATTATAGGTCATGAATTGAAATGATATTTCATCAATTAGATGTTTTGAGGTGTTTTTATAAAACTTTTATTGAAACTTCTTTTTTGATTAATGTAGTACAAAAAATGTTAATTGAGAAATACGTTTAAAGTTCTTCAGAAATATGCTTACGAAGAATAGTGGAATACAAATTAAGCCACTGCAGCATTTTTTTTCCATTATGTGAATTTCTTATACTATAATTATCTTATTGAGGTAGAACCAAACATGGAAAAATATACTATACAAACATTTTGTTGAAACTTCATTTGATTTCTTGATAAAACTTTCTTGAAGGTACTTTTATCAAGCATGTTTAACCTGTTGTCAACTTAATAAGGTAAAATTTTCATATTCGTACTGGCTAATCAATTTCTATCACTCAAGTTTGTGAAGACAAAAAATCAAATCTTACAAAGCAATGTGCTAAATCACTTCCAAAAAAAAAGTCACTGTAGGCAGACTTGAATTGGACTACTTTGGAGCTTAAAAAGTGCACAAATAACTTGGGTGGAAGTAGAGGTGGCAAATCAACCCATTTAACTAAATTTCTCCATATCCGCTCATGAATAGATGGGTATAGGTATTTTAAATTTTTGTATATGAGTATAAATGGATTATGTAGACACCAAATTTTTGGTGTAATTTCATTTACTGTTTATTTTTAGTTTTTTTTATTAGTCGTGTTAGTTTATTCGGTTTTTAGCTTTTAGTTTATAGTTTTATTTTTTATTTTTAAGTTTAGCATAGAATTTCTTGAAAAAAAAAAGAGAGGGAAAAGGAAAAAGAAAAAATGGAAAAAGAAAAAAATGAAAAAATGGAAAAATGAAAAAAAAGGGGGAAAAAGAAAATGGTTCACAAAAATACGTTTATTTCTCTTAAATTCAATCTTTTGGCATTTTGTTTATTTTTGTTAATTTATTTTGAAAAAATGAAAAAAAGAAAAATTAAAAATGGCCATTTTTGTTTAGTTTTTTGTTTAAAATTATTTTTGTTTTGTTATTATTATTATTACCTGGTTTGTGTAATTTTGTTATTATTATTATTTATATTTTATTTTATCATTTCTGTAATTATCAAGTTGTTTTAAAAAAAAATTAATTAAAATTAAAAAAAAATTACCGCAGCATGCACGCTGCAATTTTTTGCAGCGTGCAAGGTACAACTTCAATAGCCATCGGATGGCTGGATGGAAGAGGGAGGATAAGCTCTTCATCCTCACCATCCGAGAGAGGGTTTACGGATTGGAGCTCATATAAAAGGAACAAGAATCAGCAGCCGCAAGGAGGAGGAAGGATAGAGAGCACGGCTGAAAGGAAAATTCTGAAGAAAAACAGAAATCAGAGAGAATAGGCATCAAGTGACGGCTGCAAAACCAAAAGGAAAACAGCAAGGAAGAAAAAAGGGAGTGAACGGCAAAAAGAAAGAAACAAGAGAAAGGCTTGCGAGGAAAATGGGACAGGGATAATTGGCGGCATAGGTTCTGGGCAGAAGAAAGGGCTGGGTTCAGAAAAGAAAGAGTGAAAGAGAGAGACCAAAGAGGGGAGGTCAAGAGTAGGAACGAAGCAGCACCAGAGGAGGAGGAAAACAAGAAACCGAGGGAAGTCTTGTCAGCGGGAAACCAAGGAGAAAGCCGGCAAAGGAAGGTACCGGAGCTGAGGTAAGAGACTGAAGTTTTCATTTTTTTTCCATCATTCACCCGAATCCAGATTCAAAAACCTCAGGTCTTTTCTTTAAAAACCGGTTTCTTAGCTTCTCCGTTTTCCCTTCGTGACTGAGTTGGGTCTCGCGTTTTGTTTCCTGTTTTGTTATTTGTGTCGCTATTGATGTTTCAACCGTTACTGAGTTAGGGGTTTGCTGTTATCTCTATGGCTTTAATCTTGTCTATGGAGTGTGTATGACCAGGTTTTGATAGGAAGTGAGTTTGAACTATTGGGTTTTCATGGGTTTTGCTGATCTTCTGGGTTGATTATATCGGATAAAATTGTAGAAAGTAGCCAAAGTTTGCATTTTTCTGTTTTTCAGATTTTCTGGGGGAAGGCAGGCAGTGGCTAAAACTATGATTTTATTGTTTGACGCAAAGTAATTTGGGTTGAAGATTTGGGTCATTTGGGTGAGGTATCTACAAGTTTCATCGAGGCAAATAAACGTTTATAAACATGCTGGAATTGTAGAAAGGAAGTTGAGCAAGTCTGTTCTAATGTTGCGTTGGTCGCTGCTCTTCTTGTTCTTGTTGTTTGTTTGGGTGTCGGGTTATGGTTTGGCATATATTTGTGCATACAAGTCTGCTGCAACAAGCTTGAAGTTGGCTTGTTGAAGCAGCGTGGAATTTTTTCTTTTGATTGCCCAAAGCTCGAAGCTTTCTTCTCTTAGGTTGCTGAAATTTGTTGTTCAACTCTTAGTATTTATTGCTACTCCTGGATTGCTGTGTCCATTATATGCTCATGAGAAATCTAATGAATGTTAGGCTGCAAGTTTTCTGTGGTCTCTGGAATGAAAGCTCAAATGGCCAAAAATTTTCCAAATTGCCGCATGCTCTCTCTTGCGTTTTTTTTAGTGCATAAAAATGAGACTTTGTGTTTGAAAATGGGATGAATGCTGGGTAATGTTGTTGTTTGGATCCAAATTTTGTTGGTTTTGCCATTAGGCAAGTTTGTATGGCATCCAAAATTCACCAGAAATTTGAACCCAACATGCTAGAGTTTAGGTGAGGCGGCAAGAAATGTTTTTCTGGTTGTTGTGAATCTGTTGAGGGGAATGGATCTTGAATAAACTAAACAATTTTTGCCTCAACATGGAAAACAAATTTGGTTGTTTAGTGATAAGATATAAACTAAACAATTTGAATCCACCAAAACATCAAACTTTCCCTCAATTGCAACTCAATGAAGTCAAAACTACTTAAAAACCAAGGCAGAAGGCATGATCATCCAAACCCCAAGCATAACGTCTACTAAAGACCCAAAAGCAAGCACTACTCAACCATTTGAACCTAATTGAAACATTTAAAAACACAAAAAGTTCCCCAAGTAAATAACAAGATCCAAACAAACATTATGGAATTTTGAAGGTCAAAGAATGAACAAGGGTCCACGAATGATTTAAACATGCATTTTGAAAACTCAATAGCAACCATTAATCAACCAAATAAAACCAATTGAAAAATTTAAGAGCTTCAAAAGTCCCAAAAACAATGAAAGGCCAAATGATGACTCAAAATACACCCACCTTAGGACCTATCCCATTTAAATTTCTGTCCGGGTCTATCCCGTTTGCATTTTCTGTTCGGGTCTATCCCATGGGTCTATCCCATTTAAATTTCTGTCTGGGTCTATCCCATTTTACATTTTCTGTTCGGGTCTATCCCGTGGGTCTATCCCATTTAAATTTCTGTCTGGGTCTATCCCATTTTACATTTTCTGTTCGGGTCTATCCCGTGGGTCTATCCCATTTTTCATTTTCTGTTCGAGTCTATCCCATTTACGTTTCTGTTTGGGTCTATCCCATTTTACATTTTCTGTTCGGGTCAGTCCCGTTTTTAATTTTATGTTTGGGTCAGCCCCATTTTTGGAATCATTTTTGCAGCCAAATAATGCAGGTAAGTATTTGGTGTCTATTTCTTTGTCTCAAGTTTTTTCAAAACTCAGACAAAGAGGGGCAAACTGTAGACACCAAATTTTTGATGTAATTTCATTTACTGTTTATTTTTAGTTTTTTTTATTAGTCGTGTTAGTTTATTCGGTTTTTAGCTTTTAGTTTATAGTTTTATTTTTTATTTTTAAGTTTAGCATAGAATTTCTTGAAAAAAAAAAGAGAGGGAAAAGGAAAAAGAAAAAATGGAAAAAGAAAAAAATGAAAAAATGGAAAAATGAAAAAAAAGGGGGAAAAAGAAAATGGTTCACAAAAATACGTTTATTTCTCTTAAATTCAATCTTTTGGCATTTTGTTTATTTTTGTTAATTTATTTTGAAAAAATGAAAAAAAGAAAAATTAAAAATGGCCATTTTTGTTTAGTTTTTTGTTTAAAATTATTTTTGTTTTGTTATTATTATTATTACCTGGTTTGTGTAATTTTGTTATTATTATTATTTATATTTTATTTTATCATTTCTGTAATTATCAAGTTGTTTTAAAAAAAAATTAATTAAAATTAAAAAAAAATTACCGCAGCATGCACGCTGCAATTTTTTGCAGCGTGCAAGGTACAACTTCAATAGCCATCGGATGGCTGGATGGAAGAGGGAGGATAAGCTCTTCATCCTCACCATCCGAGAGAGGGTTTACGGATTGGAGCTCATATAAAAGGAACAAGAATCAGCAGCCGCAAGGAGGAGGAAGGATAGAGAGCACGGCTGAAAGGAAAATTCTGAAGAAAAACAGAAATCAGAGAGAATAGGCATCAAGTGACGGCTGCAAAACCAAAAGGAAAACAGCAAGGAAGAAAAAAGGGAGTGAACGGCAAAAAGAAAGAAACAAGAGAAAGGCTTGCGAGGAAAATGGGACAGGGATAATTGGCGGCATAGGTTCTGGGCAGAAGAAAGGGCTGGGTTCAGAAAAGAAAGAGTGAAAGAGAGAGACCAAAGAGGGGAGGTCAAGAGTAGGAACGAAGCAGCACCAGAGGAGGAGGAAAACAAGAAACCGAGGGAAGTCTTGTCAGCGGGAAACCAAGGAGAAAGCCGGCAAAGGAAGGTACCGGAGCTGAGGTAAGAGACTGAAGTTTTCATTTTTTTTCCATCATTCACCCGAATCCAGATTCAAAAACCTCAGGTCTTTTCTTTAAAAACCGGTTTCTTAGCTTCTCCGTTTTCCCTTCGTGACTGAGTTGGGTCTCGCGTTTTGTTTCCTGTTTTGTTATTTGTGTCGCTATTGATGTTTCAACCGTTACTGAGTTAGGGGTTTGCTGTTATCTCTATGGCTTTAATCTTGTCTATGGAGTGTGTATGACCAGGTTTTGATAGGAAGTGAGTTTGAACTATTGGGTTTTCATGGGTTTTGCTGATCTTCTGGGTTGATTATATCGGATAAAATTGTAGAAAGTAGCCAAAGTTTGCATTTTTCTGTTTTTCAGATTTTCTGGGGGAAGGCAGGCAGTGGCTAAAACTATGATTTTATTGTTTGACGCAAAGTAATTTGGGTTGAAGATTTGGGTCATTTGGGTGAGGTATCTACAAGTTTCATCGAGGCAAATAAACGTTTATAAACATGCTGGAATTGTAGAAAGGAAGTTGAGCAAGTCTGTTCTAATGTTGCGTTGGTCGCTGCTCTTCTTGTTCTTGTTGTTTGTTTGGGTGTCGGGTTATGGTTTGGCATATATTTGTGCATACAAGTCTGCTGCAACAAGCTTGAAGTTGGCTTGTTGAAGCAGCGTGGAATTTTTTCTTTTGATTGCCCAAAGCTCGAAGCTTTCTTCTCTTAGGTTGCTGAAATTTGTTGTTCAACTCTTAGTATTTATTGCTACTCCTGGATTGCTGTGTCCATTATATGCTCATGAGAAATCTAATGAATGTTAGGCTGCAAGTTTTCTGTGGTCTCTGGAATGAAAGCTCAAATGGCCAAAAATTTTCCAAATTGCCGCATGCTCTCTCTTGCGTTTTTTTAGTGCATAAAAATGAGACTTTGTGTTTGAAAATGGGATGAATGCTGGGTAATGTTGTTGTTTGGATCCAAATTTTGTTGGTTTGGCCATTAGGCAAGTTTGTATGGCATCCAAAATTCACCAGAAATTTGAACCCAACATGCTAGAGTTTAGGTGAGGCGGCAAGAAATGTTTTTCTGGTTGTTGTGAATCTGTTGAGGGGAATGGATCTTGAATCCTTGATTTTGCATCATTGTATGGTTTGTGTTAAGTTGGGTCTTATGGGATTAATTGATAGGCTTGCACGTTTCCTTTCCTTTTATGTCCACGGCTGTTTTCTTGCATGAATGAAGGCCGAGAATTGCAGAAAGTTTTCCATGTTTTGCATCATTTCTTTTTCTGTTTTTTTTTTTTTACTTGTTTGAATGCCAATTTGTGTGTTGTGTTGCTTAACTCAAAGTGTGGACATTGGGTTGAGAAGGTTTGATTGAAGTTTGTGCTAAATTCGGAAGGTTGTGTTTAAAAGATGAAATTGCCGCAAGCTTGGAAGCAAAAGTCAGCAGATTTCATTCTTTTTAGTTGCAGATTTTGAAGCTCTTTACGTATGCATGCATGAAACAAATTCTGAACTTTGCACTTAAACCCCTCAAATTTCCCTTTGGCTCACTATGGCCCAAGTAATTTGAATACTTAATCAATTTAATCCCTCAAGCTTCTCCATGTTCCATAAAAGCCCAAGCATGTTCTCATTTCTTTACAATTAGGTCCTAAGGTGGGTGTATTTTGAGTCATCATTTGGCCTTTCATTGTTTTTGGGACTTTTGAAGCTCTTAAATTTTTCAATTGGTTTTATTTGGTTGATTAATGGTTGCTATTGAGTTTTCAAAATGCATGTTTAAATCATTCGTGGACCCTTGTTCATTCTTGGACCTTCAAAATTCCATAATGTTTGTTTGGATCTTGTTATTTACTTGGGGAACTTTTTGTGTTTTTAAATGTTTCAATTAGGTTCAAATGGTTGAGTAGTGCTTGCTTTTGGGTCTTTAATAGACGTTATGCTTGGGGTTTGGATGATCATGCCTTCTGCCTTGGTCTTTAAGTAGTTTTGACTTCATTGAGTTGCAATTGAGGGAAAGTTTGATGTTTTGGTGGATTCAAATTGTTTAGTTTATATCTTATCACTAAATTGGTGCATTAATCTTTTGTTTTTGGTGATTTTAGCCTAAGTTAGTCTTTTCTTGGGTGACTCTAGCCAAGTTGAGTTTGTTTACTTCCTTAGTATCACCAACGGGGAGGTATAATCTCTTTTACCCCTTTTGTTTCTCTCCTATGTGGACTAATGTGCTAATTGAAATCTGCATGTGTACTTGCTTTCCTAGCCTCTCCTTATTTCCTTTCAGTTATTTCATTTACTTTTGATTTTTATTAATGGGGTATGTGTACACCTCTTGGCTTGTAATAGATAGGGCGTAGCAAGTAATTTGGTCCATTTTCCCTTTCCCTTTTGTTTTAGTTAGCAAATGTAATGGTTGCATGCCTATGTGTTATATGTTAAATGCTTTATTAGGATCTTGCATCTAGTCGAGCATGATAAGTGCTACATGATTTAGGTAATTTGCATGTCTACTCGCTTTTTGTAGTATAGATGAATAGAATGGATGAATGTACGTCACCACACTAGTCCAACGCTAGTTGTGGCTTCTTTTATCGTTTCCACTAGTCCAACGCTAGTCGGAATTCATAGGATGGGCTAGTCCAATGCTAGACCCTTAGGGATTTCCCCTCGTTAGTACATGTTTGCATGTTCATTACATGTCATGCATTTTTTTAGTTTTATCATTTTGCATGCTCCTCGATTCCCCTTTCCCCTCACTTTAGGTCTTACATCTCATGCTAGTTAGGGTACATTTGCCTGAAGAGTCCCCTTTTGATAAGGGAAACGAGCGAGTGTGGCTACTCGATAGCCTTAGCACGCTAGTTTTGCTTTCTAATCAAAGGGAAAATCGAAGTCGAAAAGTTAGGAGTCATTCCCATACCCGACCTGATGCATTCCTTTAGGTTCATTCATTCTCATTTATCACTTACTCATTTTTTTTCAATTCACATTTCCTCATCACTTTTCCTTTCCTTAGTGTTCAGTTTGATTTCTACTTCACAAAATTGCACTTAATTACACCTATATGCACTTATCATTATATTTCATACACTTGCACACAAACACTTGGATTTTTTATACAATTTCACACATGCACCTTTTCATACACTTGCACACAAACACTTGGATTTTTCATACAATTTCACACGTTCACCTTTTTATACACTTGCACACTTGCACTTTAGCCATCATTTGCATTAATCGACCTCTATAAGATTTTCCTTTATTGGCCGCCACAATTCATGTGGTTGGGACCAAAAACCTTACAAGAGACATCTTAGTATCTAGGGTTTTGCATTTCATGTAGCACATCCAAATGTAATAAATTCTTTGGTTAAAACAAGAAAATCTTTGATTAAATCACGCAACTAGCCTTGGCTAGGTCAAAGGGGTGCCTTGGATTGTATTCTTGCCTTCCCCTTTGTCAAATGTGACTCCCGAACCTTTTTTCTTGGTTTACGTAGACTAGGAGTCGTTTAAAAAGGGTTTCTCACTACTCTTTCCTATTTTTCTTTAAAAATACATTTTTAGGTGACTTGGTACACCTTAACTCATTACCAAGTGGCGACTCCGTATTTAGTTTTAAAAACCCTTTTTAAACTATAATTTTGGGTCAAATCGTCGCATTCTCAAAACCCCCATTTAGACCCATTTTTCTTTTAAATCACGATTCATTTTCCAATCACAAAATACATTTATTAAACCATTCATTTATTTATTCAAAAAATGGGGCGCGACAGATTACCCAATAATATCCATTTATTAAATGGGTATTATTGGGTAACCCATCAAACCCAATTAATCCATTTAGAATTCTCTTTCCTCCAAGTCTCTTCTTTTCCCCCACCTTTTTTTTTTCTTCAAATTTTTCATTTTGTCATGATGTTAACTACTTTTGTCTCATTATTATTATTATTATTATTATTATTATTATTTGTTGGTTTTATCTTATTATTTTATTTCTCTTAATTTGTTAACTTGCTCATTTTTTAGCATTACCAATTTATGATAAATTTTAGCCTATTTTCTTATCTTTATCAAATAAAATTTTTAATTTATATATGAAAAAAATGTTAGGGGTTCAAAATTTTTGGATTAAGTTTTTATATTAATTTTTATAGTACTTAGTTCAAATTTTTATATTCTTATTATTCAATTATTAAATAATAGGTAATTTTGTGACATAGAGTATAAATGAAAAAAAATTGGTAATTAAGTTTATTGAATATTATAAGTAAATATTTAAAACTAATGATGGGTACAAAGAGTGGTATAAATTGATAACTTAGTTTGCAAAAATGAATTTAAATGAGTTTGCAAAAAATTAAAATAAATGGGTTATAAATGGGTAATTGGGTTACCCAATTCATTTTTTAACTTATCCATTTATACCCATCTAATTAAATGGGTATAAATGAGTTGACTCACTTATATCCATTATCCATTTTACTTAACCCAAATCCGCCCAAGTCACCCATTTTGACGCCTCTAGATGCAAGGATTGGTGGCCACCACCCATGCATCGCCTCCCACCAATTTGTCACAGTTAAATGTGGCCTTACTTAAAAAATTCAGGCAGGTGCATAGTATACCAATCTGGTCTGGTGATGGTTCAGTTCCCTCCGAATTATTTTAAAACTTTTTCAGGCTCCCCCCTCTCCATAATATAAAATGCTATCGTATTGACAAAAAAAAAAAAAACTTGGGTGCAATGGTTTTGTCAAGAAGAATTAACCTTTCCATATGGGATCCAAAATGGCAATGGAAAATGCGAAATTCACAATGCAAAGTTTCTTGTGGCACTAATTATTCTTTTCGTCGAGTAAAATTAAAATGGTACAAAAGTTGATTAGTAGTATTTAAAATTGTATCAACCATCCAAAAAGACAGAGCATCGTAGTTTTAACGCATAGAATAACTTATTCCATTTCAGTAGCTTACTAAATACTGCTACTCCATTACTCTTATTGTTACGTTTCTCCGTTCTTCTTTGTCTCTTGCTAACTTCCAGCAACTGCCACAACTGTACCAGGTACCTTTCTCTTCTCCCCATTTAAATCTATTGCTTTTTCTGATTTTAATCACTAGAATTTTCTATGCGGCTTAGACTGTTTGACTGCATGAAATCAGTGCTTTAGTTTGGAATGGTACGTTATTGTTTCTTGTTCGCAAGGCATAAGAAAGTGACATCTAGTTTTGGCTGATCATCCTCCTACTGCTATATGATTGTTTTTAGCTTTGATTAGAGGGCGGTTTGGATTTTGTTTGTTAATTTTCGGTACCGGCAATTGCATATTTGCTGAAATAAATATGTTTCAGAAGGATATTATCGCCTGATTATAAGGTAATATATTTGGGTTAAATTTTGTTTTTGACTTTGTAGGAGCTTACCTCAATGGGAAATTGTTGTGCTCTCCTAAAATCTATTATGGGTTTTGCAACCGAGGTAGATATATACTGCTTTTTGTTTGCCCATGATTTTGAAATGAGCAAGCCTAGTGCATGGTGATTTAAAAAGTTGATCTGTTCTAGACATGATTTTCTAGGTTAAATTTATAGGCAGTTTAAGGAGCCAGCTAAAGAATTATGTTCTTAATTCTGGACAATTACATGTTTGATTTGCTCCATCTGAATACAATCTCCACACAACATCTAGGTAATGGGTGATTGGATTGAAAGGTAAGCACTACGGGACTTGTGCAGAGCTTTAACTTGATGAATTGCCTCAGTAGATATGTTTTTGCTTGCTAATGTTTAGTTTATATAGCTAGAATCAGCAGGGATCATATTCAGTCTGATCAATGAAAGGATTTCATAATACAGGAGGAGCATGATGGAAGGTTGCCAAAACAGAAGAAGGTCAAAGTTGTTTTTGTCTTGGGTGAGCATTTGGGGTTGATTCTCTGCTCCTGTTCCTAACCTGTATGAGCATTTAAACTGGCATATTCCACTTAGTTATATTTAAATCCACAGGAAGTGTCTTCTGATCCAATTCTTCAGTCAAAATAGACTACTTCTGTTCTGATTAATTAAACTCATGAATTGTACACAGCTTTTTCAACAAATCTTGAAGGTGGATCTCTACTTATTGTCTTTCCTCCATATAACGGAGGACACAAGTCCAAGAAACTCGAGAAAGTTGAGCAAAAGACATGTTGACACAGATTCAAATCAAACAGATAAACTGCCAAATAATTTCAAAATCATCTTGGAAAATTGTCTCATCAAGTTTGCCTTTCTAGTTGTATGGACCACATGGAACCAAATTTGCTGCTTGTGACTGGAAGAAACACCTGCAAGGCTATTATATCTTTTATTAGCAAGAGGAGTGAATGATAAAAGAAGCTAGCAATCTGCACTGCACAAAATTCATTTATTTCAGAGAATGGCTTCATAGTGCCTTTAGTTCTTTTGGCTTTGGTTGAGTCAACGAGTTTTAGTTGCTCCGTCCTTTTCTGAAACCCTCTGTTTGGCAGAAAAGAAAGTATTTTTTATCATTCCTTGATGTGGCTGTGTTTCATTTTCATGGCACCTGAAGTTGTTAATTAAAGACCTGTTTTTGTTTTTAGATATTTGGTTGCCAAGTTCGGTAACCATATGCATCCACCTATGTGTCAGCATCCGAGTTTCTTTTGCCTTTTCTCTTCAATTTTCCTTTGCAATAACCCTAACAACCTCACATGAATATGGTTTTCCTTTTGATCAATAATTTTAGTGTTTCTGACCTTGTAATTGTCAATCTGTGACCTTTCTCAATATACTTGTATCACTTCTTTTATTCTTTCTTACGGTGGGATGGCTTTGGATGATGCATCTAACAGGTGGTCCAGGAAGTGGAAAAGGGACTGTGTGTGCCAAAATTGTTGAACAATTTGGTTATAGCCACCTTAGTTCGGGTGAGCTTCTCAGGAAAGAAATCAAAGCTGGCTCAGAGCATGGGTATATAGTCTTGCTTTTCCCTTGATTTATTGGTCTTACAATTTTATTTCTCAGAATATTGAGCACGAAGTATCAGTTGAACAATGTTTGATTCCATGGTATTGACTATACAACATTGGCATGATATTATGTAGTTGAAATGGATCTGATGTAGAATTTTTGTTAGATTATGGTTATGGTTGGAATAGTTCTTACTCTCTGACTTCATACTGTCATCATGTCCTAATTGATTCTGCAGCACCATGATCCAGAACATGATGAATGAGGGAAAACTTGTTCCATCTGATATAACGGTTAGGCTTATTCAAAAAGCTATGCAAGAAACTGACAATGACAAATTTCTTCTAGATGGCTTCCCCAGAGATGAAGAGAATGTTAGAACGTTTGAGAAACTTGTAAGTATATTTTTCAACTGAAAGTTTGAGTTTTGAACACAATACATCCTCCTTCCAATTTAAACTTGTATTCACCTAATCTCAGTGTACTGGGCTTCTGGCAAAACCACCACTTTGTCAAAGCCACACTTAAAAGATTGACTTTGAATTTGACTCTTCTTTTCTGTAGACAAAGATTGAACCAGATTTCATACTGTTTCTTGATTGTCCAGAAGAGGAGATGACAAAGCGCCTTCTATCCAGAAACCAGGTTAGGTTTGTGTAAGCCAAGTTGACATGCTCATGGTTTCTGTTTAGTGTTTTTACAAAATGTAGGTTTCTTCCTTATTGTGGACAAAGAAAGGATCGCATTTGACTTGCACTCAAAATCTTAGGGAAGAGAAGATGATAACATTGAAACAATAAAGAAACGCTTTCGAGTTTTTCAAGAGTCCACTCTGCCTCTGGTTAATTATTATGCTTCAAAGGGGAAGGTACGGAAGGTAAGCAATCTTTCATCTTCACGAGTTTATGAACAAATGACTATTTTGGTTCCTGCAGCAGCAACAACCAAGTTCTCAATTGGCAGGTGGATGCTGCAAGGCCTGTTGAAGCTGTTTTTGAATCAGTCAAAACCATTTTCTCCTCAGCAAATGAACAGGTAAAAACTAGATATGGAATTTATTGAAGTGAATTGGTGATTAAATGACTATGACATTGGAAATATCTAATCTTTACCTGTTACGAGGTTGATTTGGCCTTTTCTTTCTTTTTCCCCTGAAAACAAAGTAAAGAGAACTCTGCATTGGATTGTACAACTGTAGTTTTACTTGCCTTGAAAATTATGAGTTGACTGAACTAGTCATGCTCTTAAAAGTTTTTAATGCCACATCTTCTCTGTTATCCAACTCAGCTGATGCAGACCATGTTGTGCCTTGCAGGGTGCCTGAAGCTCAAGGAATAATAGCTTTTACTGGTTTGATACTACATGCACTCAGGTAGTAGTCTCTGATTTACATTAGACGTTCTCTCAGATGGAACATTCATCCCTTCCTCTCCCAAAATAAGTACAAAAACAAGATGCTGTTTCTTATTTTTGCAAAAAAGAAAATGTTAGCATTGGTTAATTTTGCTTAATTACAGGTTTCATGTATTGTCACTCTTGGATGGCTACTTGAAAGTGGATTGACAAGTGAGGAGTGAAGGACTGAAAATGTACAAAACTTGCTGAAAGTTTCACAACTGTGGATTGTGGATGCCATACTAAGCTTTTGAAAGCATGTATATTGTGGATATATGAAGAATGCATGATCTGTTGGTTATGAAATTCTTAGTTCAATATTATGTTTTTCAACTGATATAAGGATCAGAAATTTTGAAGTTAGCTTGGCAGGCCTCTTCATAAAGGCTACTGAACATTTGCAAGTATTGACATGATAAGCAGCGTTTCAACAGTTAACCAACAGCTTCCTATATATCAGGGCATATTTGTGACATACCGTTTTTACTGTCTATTGAGTTTCAATTTTACTGCTTCTTGCTCTATTTTAGCGAGTTATGAAGAGAATAACAAATTTTCACATGCTCTTTTTTACATGACTTCATGCTGCATTCAAAAGGTTTAGAATGTTTTGTAGTTTGCAAAAAGATAGCACTTATTTGTCAAATTTCATTTGCTTGCATTACTAACATATTTTTTAACCACATTTTTATCTTACATACATTGTATCAAAAGTCAAAAGTCAAAATAGTGCTACAATATTTTTTTACAAAAAATTATCCCAAATAATCTACTTGATTTTTCATGCATCATCATCGTACATGAATAGAAGGCCACAGAGTGGAAAAGTGAGAATTAAATCATTTATTTAAACATGATGAATATTAGGACACAAGTTATGATTTGTTCTTCAAGTTCAAGGTTGAATTTTTTAATGCAATATTTTCAAAATTTTAAACTCACTATTTTTTTTTCAAAATTAAATAGAAGTATTAAGTAAAAAACATGCGTTAGATGAAATATTACACAGCTGGTTAGTGGTTACCACATCCAAAAAAAAAAAAAAAGAGAAGAAAAAATGCTGGTCACTTGCAAAATTAAAGTGGAATAAGTAAAAATTGGAGAGACCACCTAAGGGAAAGACGTGAGAAGCAGAGACCGCTCTCCGCTTTGTCCAAGATGCGAAAGCGTTCCCTTCCATCAACTTATGCAAACGGTAAAGGGTGGTAGATCTCTTTCAGAGTTTCCACGTTTTCTGTGGTTTGAGGAGACGGCTTTTTGGTTTTGAGATTTGACCATGGAGTTCTTAGACGAAGATGCCCGACCCAGATTCGTCCTCCAATCGAAGCCTACACCCGAACCCGCCCAATCGTCCCAAGATCCCCCATCTCTCCGTAAACCCACTCTCTTCATTTCTCTCACTGTCTCTGCTCTTTTCCTCGCTCTGTCATTCCTCTACTTCACCTTAGATCCCTTCCAATCCCTCTTCATATGGTTCTCTCTTTCCCTCCTCGTCGGCCCATTTGCTCCCCTCTCCCTCACCGCCGGCGACATCCGGGTCGGCCTTGGCCCACCCCTACCCGAACCCACAAAGGAAACCGAAATATCTGATGAGGTTAGCAAAAGAAGTGGTAAAAGGTCAGTAAAATCTACAAGGAGACAAGACGGGTCAGGAAATGGATCCGGGTCAACCAGGCCGGATTACGGCTGGGAAGCGGTGGAACAAAATGGGTTTTCGGTGAATCGAAATGGGTTGGTTGCAAAATTTGAGAAGAGCGAGGGGAAGGTTGTGAATGAGGAGGTGCAGTGGGATGCGGGGGATGATGAGTTGTTGAAGAAGTTGATGGGGAAGCATCCGGTAGGGAAGCCGGGACGTTGGGAGGCGGTAACTGAGGGTTTTAAGGGCAGGCATAGCGTAGACAGTGTGATAAAGAGATCAAAGGAATTGGGGGAAAAAAAAGTGAGTGACGAGGATAGTTATAAGAAGTTTTTGAAGGATAGGAAGCCGGTGGATAGGCGAATCGAGGGGGGAAATGAGAGTCATGTTGGAGGATTGCAGAGCGTTGAAGCGAAGGGAGACAGTAGTGGATGGAGTGCTGGGGAGGATTTAGCATTGCTTAATGCTCTAAAAGCCTTTCCTAAGGATGTACCAATGAGGTGGGAGAAGATTGCAGCTGCAGTGCCGGGGAAAACGAAGCCAGCTTGTATGAAAAGAGTGGCAGAATTGAAGAAGGATTTCAGGAGTTCTAAGGCTGGTTCTAGTGAGGCTTAAATGAGAGAGTGGCAATCGAATTCTGACTGCCTTGAGAAGGTAAAAATTTTGTATTACAGAGTGATACACTTTAAAAATTTTAAGGATAGAGATTGATGAATACTCTTTCAACGCTGGATTTGAGTCCATTCTAGAAACCTGTAACCAATACGTTTTATCGTAGACGAGAGTGTTGATAAGTTATTAATTTTTGGATATTCATTGGAATCTTGTTATTTGTATGAATCAATGTGTTATCAATTAAGTTACATTTTACTGTTCACAAATGATCTTAGTGTCTGTCTTGCAACTTATTTGTTTGAGTTGTTAAGAGGTCTTTGTCGACTGTTCATGTGGTCTGTCCAATGATGGGTTCAATGTTCGATGCTGAAGTTGTGATATTCCTCTAGGAAATGATCCTGTGGCCATTTCGTGGGAGCTTTTCAAACTGGCATGCGACATAGTAATTCTGGGGATATGACCTAGTGTCTTGCTATAAAATGTAAATGCATCATGCAATAAGCTCAGGGCATTATTGTGCAGATTGAAGGATGAAATGAACGAAACACTGGGGCAGGGGAGGGCTCTTATAATACTTCCCACTGAGAGGTTTAGGGTTCAAATTTTGGGCATGACAATTAGAGGTGGGAAGGGTGAAGGGATGGGTAAAAACAAAAAAAAAAAAAAGAAGAAGCAGAAGAAGGTGAACTATGGGATGGTTTGTATGAGTGCTGATCTTACTCAATTTTAAGTGTGCTAAAACTACTCAATTGAGTCCGTTGCAGGATGCATAAATTGTTGTGAATATACTTAATCTGTGTGGAAACTGTTTATATACTTTTTTTAATTTCTTTTTTTTTCTATGGATATAATTCCTTGAAGGTACAAGCTAAGTGATAGTATGGATACACATAATGTGAATGAATGTAACTGGAAGCTAGAAGCACCAATAAATGAAGCAATGACACAAGATGCTGTTAGATATTAGATACCAAGATACAGGTCAACGTACTCCCTTAAACAGTTACATGCAATATCATAGAAAGTATTTAGATGAAGCTTTAAAATGCTGTTAGATAATATATTGAATGGGGTTTTTTTTGAAGAATGATTTTTGATATGAAACTACATTGAACTGTAACTGGACTCTCTCAGATGTACAGATACCTTGTAAGCTTAGTCTTAGTTGTGTGTGTCAGTTGTAGTGTAAGGAGCCAATAACTAATGCATCAGATGGAGTTAGTGGATGTCTGTATTCAGGAATGATTTTCATATGGAAAATACATTTTATAGAGTAAGATGATATGCATTTAGTGACTCTTGTTGAGTTAATTGCCAGTTTTGTGTTGGTGTAAGAGCCATTTGTTATTGAGTCAGATAGAGTGCCAATAACCATCTTTCACTCTCCAAGTAAATTGGAGAAATTACAAGGTATCTCCAGTAAATACCCTGAGATGACTGGTTTGGATTGTCAAGTTCTTATATACCAAGAAATAGTTTTCAAGATCAGCAAGTTGGTATGAATCTTTAAGTGGCAGTTGAAAAACTTTTACTGAAATAGAGCATGCTGCTGGAGAAAACTTTAGACACAGACACATAAAGGTTTGGATCATGGAGTCACTAGTTAAAAACCTTCTTATCTGTTCTCTTCTTCGGTAAGTTGGATTAGTGTTATAATTTTGGAGGTGTGAATTTATAGCAATTCCAATCTGATCTCTCTGGAACAGTTCATAAAATTACTGGTTTGGATTGTCAAGTTTTCCTTATATGCCCAGAAAATTTTATCAAGATCAGCAAACTGGTACAAAACTTTTTAGTGGCCCTGAAGAAACTATAACTATAACTTTTGAGTGAAAACACACTGTATACACACACGTATGGGTATTGGTCCATGGAGTCAGTATCCAAAATCTGTTCTCTTATCAGGTAAGTTAATCAAGGTTTTGGATTTTGGAGGTGCGAATTTAACGAAATCCCAAATGAAGGAGAATGAAAGTTAAAAACAATCCCAGATGCATTTGAGAGCTTCAGAATTTAGAATATCTAGATATGGGTGATACTATTGCCAGGGGGTTACCAATGCAAATCCCTTTTTAACTAGATTATTTAAATCCTGATAATGCGTGTTACTCATTAAAGTTCCATCAGAATTAAGAGGGCTTCTTTCCTTGCTAAAGTTACAAACCATAAATGTTTCAACAGTCCATGATTATTTTCTTCTTTATGTTGGGGCAACACAGAAATTGAACTGGATTTTTTGAATCACGGATTAGTTTTTATTTTTGCATTAAGTTGCTTCAAATTCCTGTTGGTCCTCACTTACAATAATTAATGTTCTTTCTGTTGAAAATGAAAATTTATGCATATGAAATATCATATGCAACAATACTTGGCACCAGGTATAACCAATGTCACGCTGACACAGAATAACAGAGATTAATTGAGAAAGTGTTTTCTTTCCTTCGAAAGCTGTCAAAGAGGATAACAGAAGAGTTGAAGTAAGAATAATATTCTAGATACGAAGAATGAAGCCATCTTTATTTATCTTATTATTGACACCAAAAGTGGTGCTTCAACCTTAAATGATGCTCATTTGTAGTATTGAAGAAAGAATATTTGGATAGAGAATTATTTCAAATAATTATTTGGAATAATTACTGTAGCACTTTTTGTGATGTGATATATGTAAGATAAAAATATGATTGGAAATATAAAAAGGTGGATTGAGAAATGTGTTTATGATGGAAGCGAAAAATTTTTGAAGAAAAATTTGCTATCCAAACAACATTTCAAGTTGATTCTATCTACCCTACGGAATAAATTATTGCAGGAAGAAGGTAAATCATGAATAATTCTTGGCCAACATTAACTGGAGGGGTTATTAATAACACACAGTTGGCCTGATTTTCTGTAAGAAGAAAAATTCTTGCTTTATGGGTCCGTTTGTTTCGGGTGAAAATATTTTCCTAATTTCCCGTGTTTGGTTACACAAAAGTTACTGAAAACATTTTCCTATGTAAAATATTTTCACCCATCTTATGGAAAACAACTTCCCTTCCAAATTTACTGAAGTTGTTTTCCGAAATGCATGCATTCCGCCTGTAGTATGTTCCAAACTTACTGAAAACATCTTGTAGTATGTTCTTTTTTTTTTAGTGTAAACAGGAGGACTCGAACCCAAGACCTCTTCCTTACACTCCCTCCCCCGTACCACCCAACCCAACCCTCCCCTAGTATATTCAAAATTAAAAAAAAAAAACCTCATCCTGCTCATCCTATGCTAGTAATTAATAATGTATAATAGGGACATTCTTTTTTAGAGAAACTTTCAACAGTGAGAGTGCAAGATATATGTCACAATATGCATTGCATGTGATTGATATTTGACACTAAATGGCCAGCAATTTGTTTATTGCTTGAGGAGATATTTTTTATTCATATATACATTTCTCCAAGATTTTTTAAAGTTAAACAATGAGATAAATTTTCTTATTTTGCATGGAAAGAAGTATGTAATTATAATGTGTAGAAAGTAAAGATAGAGATAAAAGTGAAAATATTTCAAAAGTTAAACAAACACCAGAAAAATGAAGTAAGAAAATATTTTCAATAAACTAACCAAACACCTGAAAATGATGAAAGGGAAATGATTTTCATGGAAAATTACTTCCACGAAAATATTTTTCCAAAGAAAACATTTTACTTCCAACCAAACAGACCCTATATGAAATAGATTCTCTCCCTTTAATTCCAATATATATATTTTTTTGGTTAGCCTGATTCATTGCAAACTTGTCTTGCGGCAAATGTTGTAAGACGAAATAACAATGCTGAAAAGACACAAAAGACAAATAACAATGTTGCTACTGAATTTGTTTCCTCATACTTTTGTAGTACAATATAGAAAGGCATGTTTCCTCAATGAGAATGTGTATTTGAGAGCCTTTGAAGATGATATAGCTAAGACTTAACGTAAGAATAGAACGGACGAAGAATAAAGCCATGTTTGTTAATCTCTTTTCTTACTCGTAAGGCTGATTTATTCCTAAAGTGGCGCTTCAGCTCTCACCTAAAGTGATACTAATTTCCGGAAGTGAAGAAAGAATAAATCATTTCAACTTTCTTTCTACAAATTCCAAACCATGAGGAACAAGGAAGGTAGAAAAAGAGCATTACTTCCAATTGAATCAGCCTGATCGCCGGCCAAGGTCTTCCTTTCTATATAATAAATCCTTCTCAGGCACCCAAAAAATATATGAAGTTAAAACCATTCTTCTACTCATAACCATATAAAAAGAAGCGAAAACCCTGCCTCCTTCTTCTTCTTCTTGAAAAAAAAAACTATAAAATGGCAGAAACTGTTGTCTCTTTTGTTTCAAATCGTCTCGCAACCTTACTCCAAGAGGAGGGAAGCCTGTTGGGAGGGCTTCGACAAGAGGTCCAACTCATCAAGGATGAGTTGGGGCATATGAAAGCTTTCCTCAAAGTGGCTGAAGCAAAAGAAGATGATGATCCCAGGTATGGGTGGCAAACCAATCCACCTAACTAAATTTACTCGTACCCGTCTATGAATAGATGGGTATGGATATCTTAAATTTTTTTATATGGGTATAAATGGGTTACCCAATAATACCCATTTATTAAATGGGTATTATTGGGTAACTCATCAAACTCAATTAACCCATTTAGAATTCTCTTTTCCCACCCATTTTTTTTCAGATTTTTTATTTTGTCATGATGTCAACTACTTTTGTTTCATTATTATTATTATTTGTTGGTTTATCTTATTATTTTATTTTCTCTTAGTTTGTTAACTTACTCATTTTTCAGCATTACCAATTTATGATAAGTTTTAGCCTCTTTTCTTATCTTTCTAAAATGAAAATTTAAATTTATATATGAAAAAAATGTTGGGGGTTCAAAAATTTTGAATTAAGTTTTTATAGTACTTAGTTCAAATTTTTATAAATCATTTCAACTTTCTTTCTACAAATTCCAAACCATGAGGAACAAGGAAGGTAGAAAAAGAGCATTACTTCCAATTGAATCAACCTGATCGCCGGCCAAGGTCTTCCTTCCTATATAATAAATCCTTCTCAGGCACCCAAAAAATGTATGAAGTTAAAACCATTCTTCTACTCATAACCATATAAAAAGAAGCAAAAACCCTGCCTCCCCCTTCTACTTAAAAAAATATATATAACAAAAAACAATACAAATGGCAGAAACTGTTGTCTCTTTTGTTTCAAATCGTCTCGCAACCTTACTCCAATAGGAGGGAAGCCTATTGGGAGGGCTTCGACAAGAGGTCCAACTCATCAAGGATGAGTTGGGGCATATGAAAGCTTTCCTCAAAGTGGCTGAAGCAAAAGAAGATGATGATCCCAGGTATGGGTGGCAAACCAATCCACCTAACTAAATTTACTCGTACCCGTCTATGAATAGATGGGTATGGGTATTTTAAATTTTTTTATATGAGTATAAATGGGTTACCCAATAATACCTATTTATTAAATGGTATTATTGGGCAACCCATTAAACCCAATTAACTCATTTAGAATTCTCTTCTCCCAAGTCTCTTCTCTTCTCCCACCCATTTTTTTTTTCCACATTTTTCATTTTGTCATGATGTTAACTACTTTTGTTTCATTGTTATTAATATTTGTTGGTTTATCTTATTATTTTATTTTCTCTTAGTTTGTTAACTTACTCATTTTTTAGCATTACCAATTTATGATAAGTTTTAATCTCTTTTCTTATCTTTCTAAAATGAAATTTTAAATTTATATATGTTAGGGGT